AAGTGCTTAAGGAGGTGCCATGCTAGGTGCTAAGGACTCTTAACACCATCCCTCTGCTAGGATGACTTTTTAAAAAAAATATATTTAACATATAATGTGTAAATTTAAGGTATACAATGTATATGTTGTAATATGATTTTGCCCCTGTAGCAATAATTAGCACCTTTATCACATTGCATATTACATAATTATAATTATTTCGGTAGTTGAAATAATTAAGGTCTAGTCTCTTATTAAGTTTGGTTATAATACAATTTATTGTTTTTATTGTACTATACATTATATCTCTAAGGCTTAACTACTCCTTGGTTTAAAGTAACTGCTCCTTGTAAATTTGTACCCTTAACATCTGTTCTTGACCCCACAACTTTCATCCCTTGGTAACCACCATTTTATTGTGTTTCTACAACTTCGGCCTTTTTAAATTCCACATACAAGTGATATCATACAGCATTTGTCTTTCTCTCACTTCTGTCACTTAGCATAACGTGCTCAAACTCCATCCATGTTGTCACAAATGGCAGGATGTCTTTGTCATGGGTGAATTATTACTCCAGTGTGTATATACACACCACATTTTATCCATTCATCTGTTGATGGACACAGGTTCTTTCCATATCTTGGCTATTACAAATAATGCTGCAGTGAATGTAGGGGTGCATATATCATTTTGAGTTAGTGTTTTCATTTTCTTTGGATAAATACCCAGAAGTAGAATTACTAGGTCCTATGATAGCTCTTTTTTAAAAAATTTTAAGGAGACTCTACACTATTATCCATAGAGGCTGTACCAGTTTACATTCCTAACAATAGTGCACAAGGGTTCCCTCTTCTCCACATCCTTGCTACACTTTTATCTTTTTGATGGTAGCCATTTGAATAGGTATGAGATCTCTCATGTTTTATTTTGTATTTTCCTGATGATTAGTGAAGTTGAGCATCTTTTCATGTGTTTTTGGCTATGTAGATATCTAGAAAACGTCTGTTCTGCCATTTTTTGGATTTGGGTTTTTTGTTTCCAAGTTGTAGGGAGTTCTTTATATTTTTTGGATATTAACTCCATGAGCTAGATGATTAGCAAAAATTTTCTCCCATTCTGTAACTTGATTTTTCATTTTTTGTTGAGTTTTGCTTTGTTTGTGCTTTTGGGGTCATATCCTAAACATTGTGAAGACCAGTGTTAAAGAGCTTCGTCTCCCATTTTTTTTTCTAGGTTTATAGTATCAAGTCTTACGTTGAAGTCTTTGATCCATTCCCAGTTATTTTCCAAGAGGAGTATAAGATAGGAGCCTAATTTCATTGCTCAGTGTTTATTCAGTTTTTCCAACAGCCATCTATTGAAGAGACTGTCCTTTCCCCATTGGATGCTCTTTTCTCCCTGTCAAATATTGATTGTTAAAGCGGGGGTTTGATTCTGGGCTCACTGTTCTGTTGGTCTCTGTCAGTTTTTGTGTCAATACCATGCTGTTTTTATTACTGTAGCTTTGTAGTATAGTTTGAAGTCAGGAGATACCTCCAGCTTAGTTCTTTTTCCTCAAGATTGCTTTGGCTGTCTGGGGTCTTTTGCAGTTCCGTACAAACTTTAGGATTGTTTTTTCTATTTGTGTGAATAATGCCATTGGTATTTTGATAGGGATTGCATTGAATCTGCAGATGGCCTTGTGCAGTATGGACATTTTAATACTCTTGATTTGTGAACACAGGATGTCTTTCCATTTGTCTTTAATTTCTTTGAGCAGTCTTACAGTTTTCATTGTACTCTTTCACTTCGTTGATTACATTTATTTCTAAGGATTATTTTTGATGCAGTGAATGGGATAATTTTTTCAGATGTTTCACCCTTAGTGTATAGGAATGTAACTTATTTCTGTACATTTTGTGTCCTGCAACTTTACTGAAATCCCTGATTAGTTCGTTTTTGTTTTGTTTTGTTTTGTTTTGTTTTGTCTTTAGGATGTTGCATATACAAAATCATATTAACTACAAATGGGACAGTTTCACTTCTTCCTTCCTGATTTGGATATGAGCAAGAGCTTTCAGTTTTTCTCAGTTGAGTATCATGTTAGCTATGGGTTGGTCATACATGGCCTTTATGTTGAGGTATGTTCATTCTATACCCAATGTGCCTGAAGTTTTTATCATGAAAGGATGTTGCATTTTAAATGCATAGATGATCGTGATTTTTGTCTTTCATCTTATTAATGTGATGTATGACATTTATTGTTTTACACGTATTGAACCATTTTTGCATCCCAGGGATAAATCCCATTTAGTCAATATGTATAAGCTTTTTGTGTTCTTCAATTAGGTTTGCTCATATTTGGTTGAGAGTTGTGTTCATCAGCAATATTGGTCTCTGCTTTTTGTTCTTTTCTGGCTTTAGCGCCAGAATAATGCTGGCCTTTTAAATGAGTTTGCAAATATTCCGTATACCTAAAGTTTTGGGAAGTTTGAGAAAGATGGTGTTAATTCTCGGAGTGTTGATTAGAATTTGCCAATGGAGCCATCTGGTCTTCGGTTATTTTTTGTACTGTGATGTTTTAAATTATTCAGTCTCTTGTTCCTTATTGGTCTATTCATGTTTTATGTTTCTTTTTCATTGTCTTGATAGGTTGTTTCTAGAAAAGTATCCTTTTTACCTGTTTTGGGGCATATAGTTGTTGATGATGGTCTCTTGCAATCCTGTGTATTTTTGTAGTATCAGTTGTAAGATCTTTTTTAAAAAAATTTTTTTTAATGTTTATTTTTGAGAGAGACAAAGTGTGAATGCGGGAGGGGCAGAGAAAGAGAGACACACAGAGTCTGAAGCAGGCTCCAGGCTCTGAGCTGTCAGCACAGAGCCCAACGTGGGCATCTCAAACTCACACACCATGAGATCATGACCTGAGCCGAAGTCAGATGCTTAATGACTGAGTCCCCCAGGCACCCCAAGATTGGTTTCATTTCTAAGTCTGGCTAAAGTTTTGTCAGTTTTATCTTTTTGATGAACCAGCTTTTAGGTTTTACTGATGCTTTTTTCTGAAAGAGATTTTATTTCTGCTTTTATTTCCTTCTGCTATGTCTAGACTTTATTTATTCTTTTTACATTTCCTAGAGTAACTTTCACAACTGGCTGTTTGAGATCTTTGTAATTTCTTACTATATGCATTTATACTGTAAACTTTCCTCTCAACCGCTTTTGCTGCACCCCATAAGATTTGATGTGTCATATTTCCATTTTTTTGACTCGTGGATTATTTAGAAGTATGTTTAGTTTCCACATATTGGTAGATTTTTCTAGCTTTCTCTTGCTCATTTCTATTTTACACTATTGTGGTCAGAAAAGATAGTTGGTATTTCAATCTTAAATTTGCTGAGATTTGTTTTGTGCCCTTTCATGTGATCTGCCTTGGCAAATGTCCATATGCACTTGAGAAAAATGTGGATTATGCTGTTGGTTGGAATGTTCTGTATATGACTGTTGAATCCATTTAATTGTGATGTTCTGATGTTGGATGTATAATTGTTTTATCTTCTTGATGTATTTATTATTAGTGACTTGTCTCTTAATGTTTTGGGCTTGAAGTGTATTTTTTCTGGCATAAATATGGTGATGCCTACTTTTTTTTGGTATCTACATGCATGGAATATCCTCCTCTGTCCCTACACCTTAAGTCTGTGTTTTTAGAACTAAAATGAGTTTCCTTTAGACAGCTATATAGTTAGGTGTTTTTTGCATCCAGCCACTTTGTGCCCTTTGGTGAATTCAATCCATTTATAATGACTTAACTAGTGCTGTCTTCTTTTTTGCCTCTGGTTATTTTTTTTATCTCCTGTGTTTCCTTTTCCCTCTGTTTCTACCTTTGTACAGTGGATTTCCATGGTGATTTCCTCAGTCTCCCCTTTTTTTGTTTCATCACTAGATTTTTGTTTTGTCATTAGCAAGTGGCATACATAAAACATCTTATAGGTAAAGTACTTGTAAGGGAAAACGTTAAGAAATAGCTCACGGGCGCCTGGGTGGCTCAGTCGGTTGAGCGTCCAACTTTGGCTCAGGTCATGATCTCATGGCTCGTGGGTTCAAGCCCCACGTTGGGCTCTTGCTTACAGCTCAGAGCCATGAGCCTGCTTCAGATTCTGTGTCTCCCCCTTTCTGCCCCTCCCCTGCTCATGCGCTCACTCGCGCACTCTATGCCTCAAAAATCAACATTAAAAAAAATAGCTCATTATATATGTAACATCCTTGCTTAATTACATGGCTTTGGCACATAATCACTTGTTCTAATTATCAGCTGTTGATTAAAGATGATAAAAACATAACTTATGAAACAATAACTTGCAAGGGTTACTACAGTTGACCCTTGAACAGTGTGAGGGTTACGGGTGCCAATCTACCAGGCAGACAAAAATATGCATATAACTCTACTCCCTAAAAATTTAACAGCTGATAGCCTACTGTTGAGCAGAAGCCTTACCAATAATATAAACAGTTGATTAACCCATATTATATATATATGTATTATATGCTGTATTCTTACAGTAAAACTAGAAGAAAAATTTAAAATCATAAAGAAAATGCTGTATTAGAAAAAAATTATGTATAAGTGGACTTGTGCAGTTCAGACCCATGTTCAAGGGTTAACTGTATTTTTTAACTTGGTAAGAAGCTAACAAACTTTTCCAAAATGGTTGTACCATTTTACATTTCTACTAGCAACGTCTGAGAGCTCCAAGTTCCTTGTCATATGGTATTTGTGGGAATTTTCAGTTACTTTATGTCTTTCTGCCCCAAGTCTGGAGTTCTTTTGTTTTATTAGATTAACGATTTGGTGATGAAGTTTTAAATTTTTAAAAAGCCAAAAAACTCTTTACAGATGAACAGAATGGAAGTCTAAATCAAAATAGGACATGAAAAGCAAGATTATTGAATACTCTGGCTTCATAAGTGATCAAAATACAAGGAAAGATTTTATCCTGAGACTTTCAGTAACACTTTTAATGGCCATTTGGCTGAGACCTTCCTATAACACTTCTTTCAGGGTTCCTGCTGCTGCTTGAATTGTAAAGGCTGCAATAGAAATGTGTTTCTTTACTTCTGTCCAGGCTGATTGAGGGTCTTCTTTATTTTCAATATCAAACATAGCATCGTAGATCCCAGGAAATGATTCTCCAGCGTATTTGTTGTGGCTACTGGGAGCAAAGATGATGTGCCTAATAGAAAAAAAAAACCCAAACAACAACATAGAGCAGGTTGAGCTAAAGAGTATATGTACATACGTTACATTTTACACACTTCTGTCTTCATTCCCTTTCCTTAGATGACATCTTAAGAATACTGTGTCTCCTCCTGGCATTCACTTTTTTACTCCAAAATGAAGACCTATAATTAATTTAAGATAGTTATGTGACAGTATAATTTTAAATAAAGAAAGTTGACCATATGCATTCACTAAGATTACTCTCATAAATCATGTTGCTGCCCATACCAATTGGAAGAAAATGGGTTCATTCTCATAAGTTGTGTACCTCAGTTGTCCGACTGCCAAGACACCCGAACAGTGAAAACAAGTATGCTTTATGGATATATTTACTGAGAGTGAGAAGAGATTGAAAAAATAATTTATCTGTGCGTTGCCTTTTTCAGAGATTCAACAAGAATGACACTTGTTCCGATACTCTTTAGACATTAAAAATCAATAATTAAAAAAGCGTGTATTGCCAATATATCATAAATGTAAGGATGATGAATGAAGTCCATGTGAATTGCCTACAGACACATTTAATTTGTAATCTAGAAGGAAAGTTTTGCATTTGATTTTTTATTTTGTCTTATAACTAGCTGAAGAGAGCAAGCTACTTCTCTTCCTCTGGAATGCTGCTTTCCAGAAAAGGACATATTTTATTGAATACCATGATAAGGAATTAGGTCAAAATCCTACAGCTTCTTTAAGATGTAAATCTACTGTCTGAGACAATATGAAACTCTATGTAAGTTAATATTAACGATCAAATAGAAATTTATAATGTAAATCATTTAGATTATCCAAACTACATCAGGATTTATTTCTCTTGGCTTTTAAATCTTAACATGGCCTCAAATGGATCTTTCTTAGAGCCAGTGTTACATACTGAACTGCTTATAAACATTGATATTCTGACCTATATATGACTTGAGATATTCTACATGAAGTTTATAGCTATTCATAAGTATACTTGCTCTCTATTGGAAAACTGTAAAAGCAGAGTATAGGAAAATACAGATAGATACTAAGAATTGTATAAACCTGGTTCGAATCATTGACCTGACATCTAATACCCCTGTGGCCTTTCACCTTGGCTAAATTGTTAGGTATTCTATTCTTTTTGATGCAGTTGGAAATGGGATTGTTTGCTTAATCTCTCTTTCTGATAGGCCATTATTAGTGTATAGAAATATAATAGATTTCTGTATATTTTGTGTCTTCACCATATGATGAATTTATTCATTCTAACAGTTTTTTAGTGGATTCCTTAGGTTTATCTATATATAATGTCATCTACAAATAAGTAATGGTTTTATTTCTTTCCAGTATGGATGCCTTTTTCTTGCCTAATTGCTCTCAGTAGGACTACCAATACTATGTTGGAAAAAAGTGGCAAGACTAGGTAAGCATTCTTATATTGTTCCTGATCTTTGAGGAAAAGCTTTCAGCTTTTCACCCTTAAGTATGATATTAGCTGGAGGTTTGTCATATGTGGCCTTTATTATGTTAAGTTACATTTTTTTACATGACTTTGATGAGTTTTAATAAAAATGCATGTTGAATTTTTGTCAAGTGCTTTCTCTGCCTCTATGTAAGACTTTATCCTTCATTTTGTTAATATGGCATGACATTGATCTGTGGATATTGAACCTATCTTTATATCCCTCGGATAAATCCCATTTGATTGTGGTACATGATCTTGTTTTAATATATTGTTGAATTTGGTTTGCTAATATTTTGTGAAGGATTTTTGCTTCTCTGCTCATCATATTGGCTGGTAATTTTCTTGTGGCATTCTTATTTGATTTTCATATCAGGGTAATGCTTGCCTTTTAAAAGGAGTTTGGAAGTGTTCCCTCTTCAGTTTTTTGAAAGAATTTGAAAACCAGTGGTACTGATTCTTCTTTCAATGTTTGGAGAAGTTACCAGTGAAGCCGTTTGGTCCTGGACTTTGGTTTGTTGCGAGATTGAGGATTACTGATTCAGTATCCTCCCTTTCTTTTTACATATACATTTCTTCATGCTTCAGTTCTGAAAGGCTGTATGTTTCTAGGAGTTTGTCCATATGTTCCAGGTGGTTCAGTTTGTTGGCATAATAGTGTTGATAGTCTTGTATGTTTGTATTTCTGTGGTATTAGTTGTAACATCTCTTTTATGTGTCCAAACCCTTTCTCTTCTTGGTGAATCCAGTGAATGGTTTATAAATTTTCTTTCAAAGAATCAGCTCTTCATTTCATTGAACTTTTCTTTTGACCTTTTAATTTCTTATTTCCTTGATTTCCTCTTTATTTCCTTCCTTCTACTAACTTGGCTTCATTTATCATTCTTCTTCACTGAGGTGGGATGTTAGGTTGCTTGAGAATTTTACTTTTTTCTTGGGGTAGGTGTTTATTGCTGGTGAACTTCAATCTTAGAACTGCATTTGCTATATCCCATAAATTTTGCCATCTGTATTTCCCTCTTCATTTTTCCCAAGGTATTTTCTTATCTTTTGATTTCATGACCTGCCCTATAGTTGGTAGAACATTGTTTAATTTCCACTTTTTGGGAATATTCCACTTTTCTTGTAGTTGATTACTAGTTTCATATCACTGTGGTCAAAACAGATGCTTAATAGTTCCTAAGTCTGTCAAGACTTATTTTTTGATATATGACCAATCCTGGAAAACATTGCACATGCTCTTGCAAGAATGTGTGGTTTGCTTTTGGATGGAACATTCTGTATATATCTTTTAATTTCATATGGCCTAATGTTACGTTTAAGGGTAATGTTTCCTTAGTGATTTTTTTTGTCTAGAAGCTAGCCATTGATGTGTGGCGTTAAAGTCTCCTCCTCTTGTATTCCTGTCTCTTTTGATGTGTGTTAATACCTAATTTATATGGTTGGGTGCAGATACATTTACAAATGTTATATCCTCTTGTTTGACCCTTTTATTACTATGTAATTTCCTTCTTTGTCTCTTATTACAGTCTTCGTTTTAAAGTATTTTGTCTGATACTAGGATAGGTATTCCTCCTTTCTTTTGGTTTCCATTATGCATTAGATGTCTTTCTCCATGCCTTCAGTTTTCATCCGTGTGGGTCTTGACCTCTGAAGTGAGTCTCTTCTGGGCGCCTAGGTGGCTCGTTTGGTCAAGCATCCAGCTCTTGACTTTGGCTCAGGCATGATCTCACAGTGAGTTCGAGCCCCACATTGGGCTCTGAGCTGGTGGTGCAGAGCCTCCTTGGGATTGTTTCCCCTTCTTTCTGCCCTTCCCCCCGCTTGCGCTCACTCGCTCTCAGAAAAAAAAAAAAAAAAAAATGAAGTGAGTCTCTTCTAGACATCATATAGATAGGTCTTGTTTTTTTTATTCATTCAACTACCCTGTCTCTCCATTGCACATTTATTCCATTTACGTTAAAAATAATAGGTATGTACATATTGCTGTTTTGTTAATTGTTTTCTTGCTGTTTGTAGTTCTTGCTTGTTGCTTATTTTGCTCTCACCCTTTGTGATTTGATGGTAGGTATGCTTAGATTTTATCTTTCTTGTATCTACTATCACTTAATTCTCATTTTATTGTTGCTAGCTACATTTTCGTTGTTTTTTTTTTAACTGGAATGTCAACCTTCCATCAAGCAAGTCTTTTGGCACCATTTTTCCAACTATATTTTTTCACTTTTTGTCTCTGTGTCACAATTTGGTTATTTTTATAATATTTCAGACTTTATTATATTCTTTATTGGAACACACTTGACAATACAGTGTTATTTGGGGTGTATAATAGTAATTTGACAGTTACATACATTAGGAATGCTCACTGCCATAAGTGTAGGTACCATCTGCCACCAAAGTTACTACAATATAATTGACTGTTTCCCTGTGGTGGACTTTTCGTCTTCATGGCTTATTTATAACTTCAAGTCTGTACCACTTAATCCCCTATTTTGTCCATACTCCCCCCCCCCCCCCCTTTCTAGCAACCACCAATTTTTTTCTTGGTTCATTTGTTTTGAAGTGAAATCATATGGGATTTGTTTTTCTCGGACTTACTTCACTTAGCTTAATACTCTCTAGGTATATCCATGTTGCAAATGGCAAGATTTCGTTCTTTTTTATGGTTACTGTTGCGGTGTGTGTGTATGTGCGTGTATACATCTTTCTCCATCTGTTAGTGGACACTTAGGTTGCATCCCTATGTTGGCTATTGTAAATAACACTGTATTAAATAACGAGGCATATATTTAGTTGAATTTGCGTTTTTGTTTTTTGGGGGGTAAATACCCGGTAATAGAATTACTGGGTCGTGTAGTATTTCTATCTTAAGTTTTTTAAGGAATGTTCATACTGTTCTGTAGTGGATGCACCAGTTTACATCCCCACTAATAATGTATGAGAGTTCCCTTTTCTCCACATCCTTGCCAACCCTTGTCTTTTTGATACTGGGCATTCTGACATTGTGAGGTGAAAACCTCATTTTAGTTTTGATTTGCATTTCCCTAATGATTAGTGGTGGGGACCATTGTTTTTCATGTCTTTTTCTCTTTGGAAAAATACATATTCAGGTTCTCTGCCCTTTTTTAATCACTTTTTTTGTTGAGTGGTAGCAGTTCTTTATTTTAGACATCCCTTTCCATTTTAGATTTCCTTGTTGTTTTATTGATGGTTTCCTCTGCTGTGCAAAAGCTTTTTAGTGTGCTATTCTCCCTGTTTATTGTTTTTGGGGTTTTGTTTTTTGAGTCTAATGGTTTTAGCTCTCACATTTACTTAGGTATTTAACCCATTTTGAGTTTATTTTTGTGATAAGAAAGTAGTTCCATTTCATTTGTATGTAGCTGTCCATTTTTCCCAGCACCATTTATTGAAGAGACTGTCTTTATTGCACAGTCTTGCCTTTTTTGTACATTATTAATCACATAAGCATGGGGCTCTCTCTTCTGTTGATTTATATGTCCATTTTTCTTCCTGTATCATCACTATAGCTTTGT